GCATCATGAGGAAGGTAACGCATAAATGCGTTCGAAACCGCTACCTAGCGTTTCCCAGGATTTAACAAAAACAAACATGAATATTCGTCAGAGTTATGATGTATGAGAACCGATGTAACGCAATATCGATGTTTAACGTGTTGTTATTTTCTTTGCTTAATTCAAATGTAACCATGTTAAGCAAAAACAAAAATGAATATTCGTCGGAGTTATGATGTATGAGAACCGATGTAACGCAATATCGATGTTTAACGTGTTGTTTATTTTCTTTGCTTATTTCAGATGTAACCAGGTTAAGATTGTAATACGTACACGCGCGTCGTAAGAAATAACCGCCGAGAATGAGGGCGGCTTATGGATTCATAACACAAAAAAAGGGCATTTACTTGGTTTGAAAATTCGCCAGTGGCGAAATCGACCCCTGATAATTTTCAAAAGGGCGGATTGTAGTGTCTATACCCTTTTTTTTAATTTAAAAAAATTTTATATTTTTATTTTATCTATATATTTTTTTTTAATTAACCAAATGAAAACAACTCACTTCTCCTCACAAGCACACCAGGAATCCATGAAACATGGAGGGCGGTTAAAATGTTGAGAATTCGGTCACAAAGAGGTCATAGACATCCAGACGGACAAAAAGATGTATGGACTAAACCTCCCAAGACATCTGGAGATGTACAGATAAGGTGCAGAGTAAATAACGGTTGAAACTTCGAGTTTTCTTAACGTTTTCCTCACCGAAAAGTAGAAACTTAACAAAGATAATTAACCAACAAACAATAATATGTTTACTATTATTATATGTTTCCTACCTACACGACCTTCCAAAAAAACTAAAGAGTACGAATTCCAGAAAGCTTAAGTGGAAACATAGTTACATTTAACCTCAGGACATTAAAATATAACTCGGAATAAAACACCAATCTCTGGAGAACTAAACTTGGCGAAGCCCCAAAATAATAATGTGACGAGGAGCATTACGAATATTCATTAAACATAGACGAATGATAACCACGATACTAAGACCGAAGGAACTCATAAAATATAATTCAAGAATAAATGTAACACACAGGACCACATAAATGTATCGCATACATCTCCTCGACCACCTTTGTCTTCCAGCGGGGTCTGGCAAGCAAAGAGGGAGCAAAAAGGTCACAGGGGGGAATCGGTGCCTGACATTCCAAAGATGTCTGCTTTTTCTCGCTATGTTTGTGTTTTGTTGCCCGCTCGCAAGGAATGCACAGAGAGAGGGGAGTCACGTTTTGAGTTAGGCACGGACAGGCACACAGCGAACGAGCAGTCTGGGTTGAGTCGTGCTCAGTCTCGCAACTCGGCGTGCGACGCGGTGTTGCGACAGGGCTCGCAAGAGAGGTGTGGCAGTCGTGCCTCGAGGAGAGATGGAACGACGAGACATCGTTAAAGTGACAGTCTGAGAGCAGTCTGTCCGAGTCGCGCTCAGTCTCACAACTCGGCTTGCGACGCAGTGTTGCGACGGGGCTCGCAAGAGAGCTGGGGCGGTTGTGCCTCGAGAAGTGATGGAACGAGGAGGGGTCGTTCGAGTCGCAGAAGTCTGAGTTCAACCTGGGTCAGGGCTGGGTTTCAGCCGTGCTCCGGCTGGCGGAGCGTCGTGAGGACACGAAACACCGATGCCGATAGCAGGTGTCGCTTCTCGCAGAACGAAGTTAAGTGCGAGTGAAGCTGGCAGCTGCATGAACAAGGGAAGCACGGAGCAGAGAGAGTGACGAGTGACGACAAGCAATCAACCTGTAAAAGGGCAGAGATCGCCAAGCGTCGACCAAGCGTGCAAAGCAGAGAACGCGAAGCAGTGGAGAAAGCCTGGTCAAACGGCTGTGGAGAGAGAGAGAGCGCAAGAGCAGCACGACTCGGACGTCACCGGGCGTCACCGAGCGTCGTGCCAACTCGTCATCCAGCAGAGGGAGAGAGAGCGCAAGAGCAGCACGACTCGGACGTCACCGGGCGTCACCGAGCGTCGTGCCAACTCGTCATCCAGCAGTGGAGAAAAGAGAGCGCACAAGCAGAGACGCGTCCGAGCGAGGGAGCAGCAGGAGCTTGCGGCGGCCACGCCCAATCGAGAGGAACACCTGGCCGCTGTTTGTATCCTCCTACACCACACAAGCTAACGACACAATTAATATTACGAGGGGACAACGCACACACAGCACGCACACGAATAAGACTTTCAAAAAGTGATCTTTGCGTTTCAAAAAGGGTTGCCATTTCGAGGTGGTGCGTTCAATATCAACTGATCGTGCAAAGCAGTTGCTGCCGTCGAGTTACATGAATAAGAAATGTTTAGTCATTCATTTTCGTTAACTGCATAATTTCGCCAATGAAGAAGTATTTTTAGTCATTCATTTTCGTTAACTGCATGATCTTGCCCATGAATTTATTGACGTATACCTGCTTTCGCATAAGAGAGTGTCATGTGCTTGTTTAGAATTAAAATTGCTTAACACCAACTGTCCGAGTGCTTCTTTCCAAGTCCATGCAAAACTATCTTATTCTTGATAACTGTATCCTGTGATGAGAACTGAACCTGGAGACCTAAAAATAACAAACACACTAAGATAATCAGCAAATGTTTAATCGATGATAATCGTGTTATCCTGATTGATATAACTCTGGATAAACGAAGCTAAGCCTTATTATCACAACTGCACACATTAACATAATCGCAAGCATCCGCATAAATTACTACGATTATCTCCATGATTATCATAATTTATGCATATAATTCCACACAATAACATAATTTATGCATATTAATACACACACTATCATAATTAATGCGATTTGCGCATTTTTCGGAAAATTATTAATTTTTATTATTTTTATCAAAATTTCATAATTCCGACAAATACAACAGGAGCCCATTGGGATGCCCTCAGTTTGTTTGTAGAAAGTTCCATTCCAGGTGAAGTATGTATTTGTTAAGCAGTGTCTCACCAGGGGGGGTACCCCAGTATTCAGTCCTTGATGAACCAAGTCTTCAATGATTGCGATGGTGTCAGGTACAGGAACTTTGGTGAATAAGAAAACCACATCAAAACTGACAAGCAGGTCGTCTGGGGACAGGGAAATTCCCTTGATTGTCGATACCAGGTCAGTAGAGTTTAGTACCGCAGAGGTGGTTTTTCCAGTGAAAGGCCGCAGGATTTCAGACAAAAAACGTGCCAGTTTGTAGGTGGGGGAGTTGATAGTAGAGACAATGGGACGAAGAGGTGTATCTTCTTTATGTATCTTTGGAAGGCCATATAATCTTGGTGGCCTGGCTGCAGAAGGTTTCAAGACAGAGGTTCTCTGCAAGTCATTTGGCTACCATGAGAGATTCCTTCATGAGGTGATCCACATATACAAACACAGATACAATTTCAACCGAGAAGATGGATTCTGGCTCAGCAATCATTGGAAGGACGTAATAAACCATTTCAGATCTTAACTGATTGTGTTCACTTTTACGGTGACTTTCAGACCGCAGTCCACTCACTGGCATTGACTATATATCTTGTATTCTCCACAGGGAATGGATTCTTTGCTCCGCTGCATGTCTCCACCACCACTCTCCCATTGACATATTTCGTTGCTTCCTCTTAGTATATTTCACGCGACGGTCAATGGTATAGTGTATAGCAGATTGTATAAATAGTATAAAATTGTAATGTTTAATACAATGTATAAGGTAATATACAGTATCGTAATTGTATAGTGAATATACAGCAGTGTGGTATACAGTAGGGTGGGTAGAATAATACATCGTGTAATATTACACTATGTATTATTCTAAGGTAATATTATAGACGAAGGTATAGAGTGGTGTATAGTAATACAGTATATAATTTAATGTTGGGTTTGTCTATGGTAGTATACCGTACGGGGTAGACCCGTGTGATTTAAGAGAAAAAAGTTTAGCTGGCAGCATATTATATTTTTTGCGACATAGAATTGTAACGTATTACTTACTGTTAGTAGCTCAGCTTATTGGAGAGTATATTTAGTATACTGAAGATACTATGTAGTTTATACTTTAGTTTTTACGTGGTTGTTTAGTAACTGCAGCTACATACTATTAACATTCCTTCCCTTTGTTAATGCTATCCCCATCCCCTCCCTTTCATGCTGCTAATCCTGCATAATGCACGGGCATAATATGACTTTGAAACTCCCCCGCCCACCTCCTACGCATTTCCATAAATATGCTAAATTCCTCTTGATATGCAAATTATTTTGACAAGGCGCACTTCTTCCCCCCTCCAACCCAGCCTAAATATATGCTCCAAGCTTGGTGGTGTTTCATTCTTGACCTGAGGGCGGGTGCTTGCGTTGTGGCCGAAACGTCGTGAGAATTATTTTATTATGTTTTCTTTTTATTATTTTATTACTTCCCTTCTACGTGACTTTACCGAAAGAACCAAGAAGATGAATCCCTGCAGTCACGAAAGCTTTAAATCGAAAAATCATTGATTTTGTGGAACAGAGGGACTCACAGATTTTGTGGAACAGAGTGCCTCACTGATTTTGTGGAACAGAAGGTCTCACTGATTTCATGGAGCAGAGTGCCCCACTGATGTTGTGGAACAGATGGCCTCACTGGTTTTGTGGAACAGATGACCTCACTGATTTTGTGGAGCAAAGGGCCTTAGATTTTGTGGAGCAGAGGGGCTCACTGACTTTGAACAGAGAGCCTCACTAATTTTGTGGAATGGAGGGCCTCACTGATTTTGTCAAGCAGATATCCTTACAGATTTTGTGGAACAGAGGGCCTAATTGATTTTGTGGAACAGAGAGCCTCACTGATTTTGTGGAACAGATGGCCTCACTGAGTTTGAGGAGCAGAGGGCCTCACTGATTTTGTGGAACAGAGGGTCTCGCTGATTTTGTGGAACAGAGGACCTCACTGATTTTGTGGAGCAAAGGGCCTCACATATTTTATGGAACAGATAGCCTTACTGATTTTTCGGAACGGAGGGCCTCACTGATTTTGTGGAGCATGCCGTCACCAGTGAAGCTGTAGGAGATGTGCGACATGAAGGCGCAGAAGCACCAATAGGCATCCACCTCCGAGTCAAACACCTCCAGGAAGCGGCTCAGCAGGTCGTTCATGCCTTGCGCGTAGCTCACGTCTGTCAGGGCGGCACGGTCAGGCGTCCACGTTGAGCAGCAAAAAACTAAACACGGCGACACGTCTGGAGGACTAACTCTCATGGGACGTCACACTTCCCCTGTCCACCCACCCTGCCACACCCTCCCAGCACTCCTCCGTGAACTTCACGCAAATTTGAAGGAACTGCGTTGTCGGTGGTGTGAAAACAGGAATTTTATTTAAAATAATTACAACTGTAACACAGTTGTCTTTGGTCTGATTTCCATTTGCTTCATGATTTTACTTGTTTTTCAGTATGTTTTTCCTTTTGAATTTTGGTGATCTGGTTCACTCTTACAAATATGACGATCCTCGTCTCTTGACTCAAACAAAATTAACTTGAAACTTGTACGGGTGCGATCCGTCTATCAGTACACCAGCAGGTTTGTGAAGGTCACAGTCCTATATGATCCACCAACCCTTGCCTCCAAAGCACTGGATCACAATTACGTACCTACCTACCCTCATCAACACGCACCACCTATTCAGTGGAAATACCTGACAGCTGTAAAGTGGCATTTCAAGCCCTGGTCCTCATTCACTCCACTCACAAAAGGCTGTTACCTAACCCAACGTGTGATTTGTTTTAGCTGTCGTGCAGTTTCGTTGGGAAATGCACTTAACCCCTGCCCCACGCACTCGGTAAAAGTCTTGAGAAAAGCGTCACAGACACGCGTGTTTTGTCCAATGCCTCAACTCCAGGGCTAAAACGACGATCGTCCACTGTGCACCCCCCCCCCCCCCGCTGCCGCCCTGTGGCAGCATGTCGTTGACGGCGTGGTGAATCACAAGGGTTTAATTTAGCACTGGATGGGGTGAAGGGTAGCATGGAGGATGGGGTAGCGGTATTCTAGCGGTTCGCACACTGTGCTACGAACCCTAGGACTTTAGTTCGATACTTGCTCAGGGCCAAGTCCAGTGAAAATTATGTGAACTGGTTCTGGGCCTCCCCTTGGTCGACTCATCCCCAAATGAGCACCTGATGTGGTGTGTAAACATCGCCACGAGGGAGAAAAAGGCGGCAGGGTGTGGTGCTGGCCACCCACCTACTCGTGTGCCGTGCCAGTCTTCATAGGTGCTCGCTAACAGCACTTGCCACAACAGTCTGTAAAAGCTATATGGGGGGTTTTGTCTTTGGAGGATGGGATGGAGGGTGGATGGAGGTGGTGGAGTGGTGGTGGGAAATGATGTGTTGTTTGGCCGCCAAGAGTTGTAGAAGATAGAGTGGGTGCGTGCGTCACAATAGCCCTGCGCTGTTGTTTTTACACATTTTGATTGAACTTGCCGTGTTGTCTGTTTATAGTCTTAAAAACAGGGGCGGTTTCTTCATTAGGGCGATTGGGCGACGCACCACCAATGTCATTCAACCACAGAGTCACGCTAGCCGTCACTGCAGCCTCTGGATATAGTCCAATCAGCGTCATGTCACGTTCTGTGGAGTACCGCCTCTTTTTGGGCGATTTCACTTCGGCTGAGAATCGCCCCGAGTGGTCCCATAGACTTACATTCAAAGATGTTTTTTTTCGAACGGGGGCGCTGCAATGCATTCTCTATGGCTTCCGGGAGGGCTCGCCCTAACGTGCTTACGTCATCATACGTGCTTACGTCATCATACGTAAGCACGTTTCATCCAACAATATAATTTGTGGCCACCTAGTGGAATTTTTAATAAAATAAACTTGAGTGGTTTGTTTTAATAGTGAGTATAGAAACAAACAAGATGTATTGTAAGAGTCACTTTATTTTTCATTAATATTAAAGAAGTGAAGTTGCCTTTACATGCTTAAGCTGTTAATGTATCCATTGCATGGGTGGACCTTATCCTTATCAATCATCCAGACATTTGCCCCCCCTGAGAGATTTTGCAGGAGCCGCCACTGCTTAAAAATATTTGACGCTTAATATCGTCGGATCTATGGAGCCGAACGAGCTGACATTTTCTACACAAACTAGTCTCGCGTGACAATTCAAGATTGCATTATAAAACCAGTCTAGGTCCCGCCAATCATGGGCCTATTTGTGTTTTGACTTCATTTTAATATCTAATACGCCTACATTCTACTCCCCATTTTTGAAATCACGAATGGTCGTGGCCAGTTACGCGGGGAAACGACTTGGCCAATCAGAGCGGCTTTTGTTGGTGAGTCTCTGACCAATGAAAGGCGTGCTTACATCACCGCTCGTCATGGCGCCGGAGCAGCCGCTGTGCTTCCCTCTTCCTTAGTGCGAAACCAACAATTACAATTATAACAATTACTACTATTCCTATTGTTAAAATAATTACAGTTATAAGTCATAAATAATGTTTTTGTTTGCTTTGTCACTCCCGTTCCGACGTGCGGAGGGCAACATGGTTATGCTCAAGTTGAGTGAGCAGGTGAAACCCGTGATCATGTTTTACAATGAAATGCCGTAATGTTATCCATATTTTCATTGCCACAATGTTCTAATTATGGTTGTTGATATAAATGGTTTAAATTAAAGTGCAAAATCTGTGCACGTTGAGTACGGTGTCGCGATATGCACTACTATGCATATGTGTGCATTGTTATAGCATTGCAGTCTATATGTGTCTTACCGGCTGTCATACATTACAGTACTTAATGATCGCAAATACGGCAATTAAACGCGTTATACGTATCGTGTTCTATATGTAATTTCACTACTTTTCAATCGAGGTGATCGTTATTCTACTTGTAATAGCTGTGTTGCATGCTATTAACCTTTCATAACGTTGACTGTTGTCGAGGAATGCACACGCTTTCATTTATTGTAGGGTCAAGGATTGACATAGGCAAACCATCACTGTCATCTCTACAGGGTCATAAAATAGCTACCACTTTGTGCGAAGTCGTCAGTGGTTATTAAAGATGGTCCCTGCCACGGGATTGTGGAATTTCCACTGGTGGGGATGAGCGCTGCACAATGTCAATCCACTGCTGGATGAGGGCCTCCCGACGCCGTGCTGGTTGTGGAGGCCGTTTGACCATACTTCACCCTGACTGGTCAGTGCGGATTGGTAAAGGCAAGCAGCATAATCTTAGGTTTTTTCGGTAAAGTCACGTAGGTAAAAAATAAAATTAAAATTAATAAAAGTAATAATAGTAATAGAATAAAATAATAAATCACGACGTTTCGGAGGCAACACAAGTCTCCGTCATCAGGTGGGACCGTCACGGCTAGATTTACTGTATCAAGTGAGGCAAAAAATTCCAAGATGCAAGTTCTTAAATACAAATTAAGGGGGGGAGGAGGGGGGGAGGAGCTTATCTGAGTGTGGTAGCTAATGAATGGAACGTATGGGGGGGGGGGGGTGGGGGCTAAAGGAGAACAACAGGTGCACATGCTAAAGGTGCACATGCTAAAAGAGAATGACACTGCGCATGTTGTTTAACCCAGTGTTGGTGACAACCCAAATACAAAAAAGGAGAGTACTGTTAAACGCGGGGGATGTTAACACTCGGTAAAGTATAATAGTACCTGTCAAATAAGATGGTCCAAAAATGTGTAGTTAAATATTTTTTGCATGGTTAATAACATCTTTCCAATGATTACTCAGTTTGTACCCATCATCACGGTTGAAATTATGTCTGTGTTTGTATATCTGGATGGCTTCATGTACAAACCTTTGATGGTAGCCAGAGGGTTTGCAGAGCACCTTGGTCTCGGAAAAAACAATATCATGAGAGCCCACAGCGTTGTAACAATGATTGGCTTACAGAGTCGCCTGCAGGAAAACTAACAAACTGATCCTAGTCTCACGTTCCTCCTACATTGAGGAACGCATCAAAAAAGCAACCGGAAAACCACGCATTCTATGGAAAACCCTCAAAGATCTTCTACATCCTGGTAGCACCATGGTCCCTCACCTTAGTGATCCCCTTTCCTCACTGAAACTTGCCACCTCTTTTAATACTTACTTCACCAACAAGCTAATCACCGTCGCAAACTCGTGCACGTCTACCGACACATCGCACCATTGTACCCCGCTCATGGTACCTAAAATTGTAAGCACTAACCCAGACACTCTTCTAATTACGCTAAAGCCGGTGTCTACAAAAGACGTTTTCTCTTTAATTGAATCACTTCATTTGAAGTCATCTCCACTTGACGTGCTCCCAGGTTCCTTGTTCAAGCAATGTGCTCCGGAACTCGCCATCATGATTAGGAACATCGCAAATGCCTCCTTCTCTTCGGGGCGTTTTCCGTCCAACCTCAAACCTGGCCTGGTTTCTCCCTTGTTAAAGAAACCAAGTCTAGACCCGGATGACCCATCTAGTTATCGTCCCATCACTAACCTCTCGAACCTCTCTAAACTCCTTGAACGACTAGCCCTCGCCCAGCTAAAACCACACATCACCTCCTCCGCAAACTACTGCTGCTTCCAGTCAGCTTACCGTCAAAACTATTCCACAGAAACAGCACTCATTAGAGTGCTCGATGACATTTTAACGATCATTGATTCCAGCTCAACTGTTGCACTTGTAAGTCTGGACATTTCGTCAGCCTTCGACACCATCAACCATTCGCTCCTTACCTCCCTCCTGAAATCCGACTTCGGTATATGCGGCTCAGCACTCAAGTGGATAGTTTCGTACCTTTCTGACCGGCAATCTTCAGTCAGGGTGGGCATGTCCACATCGCCCGAAACAACAGCATTATGCGGGGTTCCCCAGGGCTCTGTACTAGGTCACCTGCTCTTCACAGCCTACACTTCCCCGATCGGCCGGCTCATCACTAGCTTCGGTGTTAAGCATCACTCATACGCGGATGACACGATTCTATTCACCGCCATAGATTCTAGCAGTGCATCTGGATTCGAGAGGCTCTCGGAATGTACCACCGCCGTGCAACAGTGGTTCACTGCACGCAACCTAGCTCTTAATCCGAAAAAGTCAGTGGCCATCATGTTAGGTACCAAGCAACATCTCAATTCAGCAGCACTCCCCACACACATACACATCTTCGGTCACAGCATCA